GCACAATGTAGTCAGGAGCACAGCCAGCTCACTGTAAGCCACCCCACCCAAGCACCAGCTTACAGGCTGTGCTGGACAGGAGCAGTACGGTGTTTTGCCAGCTGCCCTTTTGATTTCATGGTAAAAGGTACTCGGTATCAAGAGACACAGTAGGAGACCCCAATCTTTTGCTCAGGCAGAGAGGAAGGCTTTTAAGAGTTGGCAGCACTAGCCCCTGGCCACGCTGCTGTGTCTTAGCACCAGGGAAGCTGCGCACCATCGCGGTGAGCTTGCAACTTGCTGGTGGAGGAGGTTTGACACCCTCAGTCGGAGTACTCGGAGACAATTGCAAGCAACTGAGTTGTCACCTGTCAGCTGAGCCACAGCGACTGGAACATCTCCTCTCCCGCCAGCATGAGACAAAACCATGACAGTGGTTTAAATCAGAAGTCTCCCTCCCAGTGGGTTAACGACCCTTCCAGGGCCTTAATACAAATGGTAATTCATTAAGCTGTGGTCACTCAATTCCTTGCAACTGTCCACAAAAGAAGACTGGGTAATATGTTGTGCTAAATGCTCTTCAAAGCAAGTAAATTTATTTTTGGAGTATGATACTACTTGGGTATCATATTCTGGCCATATGTGTTTAACTACTTCAACAAGTAGTCTATCTGGGGCTGCCCCGTCAGAATTTGCCAGGCAATCTGCCATCAGCACCAACTGGACACTGGAGTTACTACAGATGTTGCAAAGCAGAACAAACCCACCCCTGTAATATTGAGGCTATTACAATAAGCACACATACTCCACAGCTTATCCCCCAACCAGATAACCAAAAGTTGCTGATGTGCCCTGCTAAGCCAAGGGTATCAGAGACGTTGCCTCACCCAGCACACAGGCTGGACGTTACCACAATACTGTGGTAAACAACAACTCAGACAGTATGTGGAGTCAAGAAGTCATGGGAAATTCTTTTTATGACCTCCCAGCTCAAAACCCAAGAGTGACCATCTTCTTTCTTCTGGTCTCTCTGAGCATTTTCGGCTCCTGCTGATGGAGCCAAGGTCTGTGTTGGGGCTGAATTACAGCACTGATGCAAAGCAGCACTTCAAAGACCTGCTTACAGCACGGCACATCTGCAGCCAGTGATCTGCCTCCTTGGAGACAAGAAGAATTGTGGAATTACCACACTAATTAGCCCACACAAAATAGCCCACTCTGAAGCAACATGCCTAAGGCATACCTGCAGAAGATGTGAACCATTGCCAAGCTCTGAGCCTGATAATAGTATGAGAAGGAATTCGGTTATAAGGTCTGGTTTCCTGCCTTGTGGCACTTGAGGAGAGACACAAGACTGCCACACCGTGGGATGCCTTATTTCCTTTCCCCTACAAGCTCAAGGCAGCTCTTCCCAGCAAAGAGGGGCAGTTGGGCAGGGGAGGAGACATGGGAAGCAAAGATCTGCTGCTGCACAAAGGCCAGCTGATACCCAGCCTTGTGTTGCAGCACAGGAAAGGCAAGGTGGGGAAGTAGGTCAGAATCTGCAATAGCTGCCACTAGGAAGTGCGGAGATGAATGCCAATGGGGGAGAAACAGAGATCAAAGACTTTCCTAGAGGTTGGCTCCATGGTTGAGCTCTCACCTGGCACCCCTAGGGAGCTCCTTGGCATGGGACCCCCCACGTTCCAGCACATACTAAGAGCAGCTGCCTGAGTCCTCAGTGGGAAACAGCAAAGAAATCCCACAGGGAGCAGCGTCAGCCTTGCAAAACTATTTTTAACTATATCACATTAAAAGCACTGCCGTGAAAAGGCAAGGCTGTGCTGGCAGCAATCAGATGGCTGCCCTCATCTGGAAGCTGGGCAGCCGTCTTGCTGGCTGCACCCAAAGACTTTTTGGGCTTCCCTCTCCTTCACCTACAAGTCAGATTTGCCACGGCACTGAAAGTCATGGACACAGCTTGCACTCACGTCAGTAGTGTCATGATTTGGTCTCAAGCCCTAAAGCCAAGTCACAAAAGCACAGCTCTACAGTATGAATGACCGCCTCTGCCCACCAATCCACTGCCTACCCTACAGCCCTGAGAGACAGCGGCCAGTAACTCAGAGGTTGCAGATTTGGTGGTTACACTGCCACAGCACGCAAGACGCTGGCACAGCCGGTACACAGGAAACCCAGACTTTGTACCAGCCTTGCGATGTGCGGGGCACAAAGAGATCAGAGCCAGGCTGTGACACCTGCAGGAAGCTTCGTGGGAGGACAGATGTTTATTGTAGTGGAAATCTCTGCTCTTAGACCTTCCAGTGGCACATCTGCTACCTAGCCCATCCCCAAAACAGACCTTCAATAAGGCTTGTGAGGTGCAGGCATTCTTCCACCTCCCTCACACACAGGAACATTTCATCCTAGCAACACAGAAAACAGGTTTTAAATGGTGCCAGGTGGGTTATTTTTATTTGTGTCTACTACCTTTGTTTCACCCTTTCTTTGGAATTAGTGATTATTAAAGTCACTGCACAGTTGCAGATCTAAAGAATATGAAGGATATGCAGGAATGTGAAGGAATAAAGACAAACAAGCATAAAGAAAAACAACAACAACAACAATGACAAAACAAAACCAAAAAATCCCTTGGTAACAGTTTGATCCAACACCCATGGGAAGTCAGCTGAGGTTGACTCTTTCATTGACTTTAGCGGGCATTAGATCACCCCAGCGGACTTGTCTGAAGCCTCATCACGGCTCTAGGATATCCTAGTGGAACATAAACTAAACTGAATTACTTGAGAAGTACCGTACATAATTTTAAAGATCAAGAATTATAATTGTTCACTGAAATACTGAATTTGTTAGTGTTTTCTTCATACTTACAGAAGAAGAACAATTATGTTGCAAAGTCAAATGTTGGAACAGTAGCACTCATTATTTCACGTCTTTAAGGACCAAATTCCGCCTTCAGATTCACATGCACATTTTCCATTGTCTCCAATGGAAACAGATTATGTGTAGCTGACTTAAACTTGTTTTCCAGCACTTAAAACTATCCAGCTTTTTCATTTTCTGTAGTAAATATGAAATTGTCATTATACTTTCTATGCTGTTTTTTTGTGGATTTCAAATGATGGCTTAAGACATATTTGATGCATTTTTTCTGTATAGTTTGGGATGAGATTGTGGATTTTTCTGCACTGTTGCATTCCCCAGAATACTGAAAGAGTGGGTCTAAGTCAGTAGATTTTACATTAGGTATACACAGTGACAAAATACTAACAACCCGTGCTTAAACAGTTAAAATTATGTGTATGACAGTGGTTTTGCCATTATACTTTTGCACATTGTTGAAAACAATACTTTTTAGTCTAAAGACCAGCAACATTTTGATCACAGAAAATCATCAACAAAAACAAAAGTTAAAAATAGCCTTTAGCTGACTTCAGGATTTTTTTCCCATCTGGCAAAAATTAGCCTCTGGAAACAAAATAAAAAACAGACAAAAATTATTGTACATGGTTTCATGAACTTACATTGATGTATCTCTTATTTCTTGGTCTTGCTGATCAAGAATAAGCCAGCAGGTAAGAAGCAGCAGCCAGTGATAAGTTTGTCTCCTCCACTCTGGGAGGTCATGTTAAAATAAAAAGTTGAAAAAATGCTTTAAAATAAAATTGCTATGTAAGCCTCCCTGGGGATATACACTCACTGATGTGTACATGTTAAAAATGGTATTTCCAGTCTATCTTCTGTTGCCTGAGAACCATTTTTGTCCTTTTAAAATCTGCATTTATATTATAACCCATAAGTACCTTTCATTTTTGTATCAACACTATAAATACTGTGTTAGTAATACTAAACTATTTCTATTGACTTATTTGTAAAAAGAAAAATATATTATATATTTATATATTTTTATAAAGTGAATTAACACTGGAGAGAGGGCTATGGGGGAATAGTGTACAATCACAGTTGATGTGTATTATTGGGCACAAATTCAATGCTTGAAACAAAAAGGAAAAGAAAAAAGTGTTCAGGTGATATCCCTCTTTCAAGCTTCAAGCCGTGTCAGAGGAGGAGTCATAGGATGCTGACACTATGAAGTTGCCAGTATTGGAGTGGCTCGCCATGGACTGGGCAGCCTGCTGGCTCAAGTTATTGCAGATCAACACCAGCTGGTTGCTCTGCGCTTCTGAGAGGGTGCTACAGCTCTGGTAGACACTGAAGTTGGTCTTCCTGCCAGGGATGTTGCCTTTCTCGCACATCGTCTTTACCATCTTGGCAAGCTTGTTTTTCCCCAGGGCTTGGCAATTGTACCAGTGAAGCGCAGCCAAGTTGACAACGGGTTTGATGGACAGGTAAAAAGGCGCGTCCTCGTAGCGCATGGCTGGAGGCCGCCTCTGGGCATACTCCTTGTAGTCTTGCACGGGACAGGTCTGTGGGGAGTGCTGGGTGGCGTACACCCGGGAGTCTGTCCCGCCTCTCTTGCTCTTGGCGTTGACATCTCCGTTGTCCGGCCCCATCCACTCCAGGTACTCCAACCCAGTCTCTGTCACCCGCAGCCGGATGTCTCCCCACTTGAGGGTGGACCCATGGAAACCTGTGCAGTGTCCAAATGCCTTAGTGTTGTTTAGCCAGACAAGGCTCAGCAGCCCTT